TCACATTCTGGTTTAGTCTAGAAAAATCAAAGGAAAACGATAAAGAAATTTCCTTTATGTTAATTTTCTTTCTTTGCCATCTACTTGGTAACCCTTGTTCCCTTGCCAGGCTTATGAGTGCCTGTATGCTTTATTAGTTATTTAGTTGAAAACATTTTAGGAAATGTTCCTGTATTATGATTATTGCTAATGAGCTGTATACTAAACAAAAGTTGTCCGTCAGTGGTCTTGTCATCTGTTTTCAAATTATATTGAAAAAGAATGTAATCAGAAAGCTTAAGGACAGATTATTAAAACAGCTTGGTTTCTTTTCAGAAGAACAGGTTCTCGTGAGTGTTGAGCCCTTCAGAAAAATCTCTCCACAAAAGCAGGTCCCTAGATGGGAGCTGAACTCTTGAAAATCTGTTCCTTCAGGCTTTCTTTCCATCTGTTGCTCTGCTGGAACAATAGCCCAAGGCTGGCCAGTCTGGGGGCTGCAGCAGAAGAAACTATGCCTGCAACTATGCCTTCTTCCAAATGATTTCTAATAGGAGATTTATTCCATCTATTATGCATTATCTTATTTTGGGACATGCCAGGGCCATTTAAAACACTGTAAGTTACTGTGATGTCCACAAGAAAAGATGACTGTGTGAGGTGAAATATCCCTGCGGCCAGCACTTGTCAGGGTTGCTTAATGCTTAGCAGTCAGGCTGTGTTGGGCTGACGGGCTTAGAATTTCTATTCAGCATCCCTTGCCCAAAGCGGAAGAGAATGACCCCTTTTGTCCTGTCTGTTATTGTCAGGCAGCTTTGGAAAATGAGCTCTGTTGAATGAAAAGAAAGCGGCAGATGACATTTTGTTTTCTTCAGGAACTAGTGTATGGGTTCTTTGTTTTTCAGGAATGGTTTTCAAGAAGATGTGCTAATATTGCTGCTGTTTTAGCAGGGGTTCTTTTGTTCAAGCCTGACCATAGATTTGTGGGATCTGGGGTGTCCGTTTATATTCGTGAGCTCTTTCCTTGTAAAATCCCATGGATATCTAAAATATGAATATGTATATTCTGAATAAGTATTTTTTAATATTGCTGTGACGTTCCTTTCCTGGAGCAGGATCTTATTTCTATAAAAAAGACATGGTCATATTTTCAGAAGAGTAAGTTCTGAAAATTTTTGTCTGTGTGCTGAATTTACACTTACTCTGAATAATTACACTCACTGTTTTAACCCAGCAGTGAGCATGGGTTAGGGACTCCAGTCTGTATTGAGCAGGTAGACCTGCCCTTTGGTTTAAGCCATGTGTCACCAAGCATTAGGTCTGGACATCCAGCATTTAAAAATACAGCTGTCACACACAGAGGTTGGGAAATCTTCTGACTTTGGAGTGTCTTAGTCATCCTCGTCACTGTTTTCTACAGCTGACCAGAAAGCTTTTCTGCACTATTGATGTTCCAGTGAGACATGGGGCTGCCAAACAAGTGACCTACATTCAGTCGGTAAACAATAACATGAGAATTGTGCTCACAAAATGGGTTAGGTTTGAAAGTGTTTTCTACATACAGGGTTTTGTTGACATTTTCATGGGTGACTGGAGAATCATTTAGGAGCCAGGAGTCTCATCTGGATTTTCAAGTGTGCCAGCAACCTGACTAGGTGGATTCATACACCCTAATTTTTAGTCATCCAGTTTTGGTCCATGTCATTTAAGAGGCTAGTCTTTATCCACAGTCACTTATGAGGCAGCGTGGCTCCTTCTGGAGTCAGAGCAGAAGATGGTGGTGTTATTGAGTCATGCTCACAGTGTTACGTGTGAAGTCAGTGAGCTCAACTGGGTGAATTTGAAAATGTCAAATGCCAAGTTGAGTGTGGTGTATGAAGAAGGTGCTAATGAGCTGCAGGGCTGGAGTACAGAAGTCTTTGGGAGACTACATGTTCCTTCATTTCTGTCTTCCCAAAAGCCTCTGAATCCCTGCACCAATTTACTGCACCCTAGCAGATTACGGTCATTGAATTAACTATCTTTGCACCTTCTCTTCTGCACACCTACCAGCGTATGGCTTCACAATGATTTCAGTTCCAGCTAAGTCCTTGGTCCCCTGCTTATGGGGGGATAGCAGGAATACATAGAGAGGGGATGAGTGGTCAGGCAGACACACATTCAGGACAGCTGAAGCTGATTGTGAAACCAGAACCTCCAAAACTTCTTACACACCCTTTCTCGTCCGTTAATATCTGCTCAGCAGCACACAGCCTGGACTGGCACAGCTAAATTCAGAACCGTGGGAATCCAGTTTCCCAGTTAGAGACTGACCTCAGCAGAGTCCCTGTATGGATATGCTGGAATTACTTGGCAGTCCAGCTGTGGTTTCCTTAGAAGGGTAGTGAGGGGTAGCAACTCAAAGGCAGAAAAACAACTTCTTCATGTTCCTACTGGTAGCAGTCAAGCCCAGTGGGTTTGGCCCCATGCCCTGTAACTGCCAGTGGAGTCCCCTGGCAAAACAGAAAGCGAGCCAGCATAAGTGGGCTGGTTTTGGTGGCTAGACTAAGCAGAGGGTTATTACCAGGACTTTTCAGTTCAATTAATTTTGTTTTATGTGCTGTTCTTTATGACACTCTTTATGGTTCTCTTCCCTTTCTTTGGTATTTCCCACCATTCAGGTACTCTTTGCTGAAAATACTTTAGCTAACTATTAGTAAACTGCTTGTTAACTTCACTGGGGTGGAGACCTGTTGCTTGGAAGTGTTGGCTCATGTATATAAGTACCTGTGGCATAACAAGCTCTTATGCATCAGGAGAGCTGTTGTCACTTTCTGAATAGACAAGGGATCTTGTCACAGACTTTTTGGCATTCTGTGGGGTGGCAAATCCTCATCTATGTTGTCATCACTTCCCAAAGAATACTTTAAAAGACATGAACTAAGCGAATAAAGGTTGCTCCTTCCCCAGTATTTGTGTCTACTAATTCTATTTTTAATAAATTTGTCTGCTCTGAAAGATTCAGTCTTGCTTACTGTTCTTCTGGTTTTGTTGTTAAATACAATGGCTCTCATTTTTTACCTTTTCCTTTAAAGTTTAGGTTTATTTGAGTGATAGATTTCTTACCACGATAATAAAGCAATGAACATGAGTTTGTGCAGAAGTCCTGGGTGAAAGCTGTCTAGCTTGTACATACTATAACTTTAGATCTTGTCAGGTTTTGGAAGAAGGCTCTTTTATAAATGCTTCAGTTTGAGGCAGTTCCTTGGAGCTGACCTTTCAAAAGTAGCTTAAATTCAGAAGTCACTTGAGGCATATCCATAATGAATATAAATATGAAAAAAATAAATCCATGGAAGTTTCTCCTGCTTTAGAAAGGTTTCTATCATAAACAGTTCAGCAAATTAGCCACTGACAACTGCAAGTACCTTTAGTATATTGAATAGGGTGTATATCCAAATCAGGCCCTATTTAAGTTTGGAGTGGGGCTTGCTCTAAGGCCTCTAAAGTGCAGCATTTCCCATTGCGAAGAGATGAAGTGGTGGTAGCAAGGAATCTATGAGTTCTATTTTGGTGACAATAAACTTGTTGAAAATAACTGGAAGTAACTGGACTCCACTCTTGTGTGCAGCTGTAATTGGAAGAGGATTTTACAAGATTCTTTAATGTAGCTGGAATGTATGTGTAATCTTTTGACCTTGTTCTTCGTTTTTGATGACTATGGCATGTGAAGTGCTGATAATTGGGTTTGCTCTAGGCTGAAACCTGACCTGCTCTCTGCAAAGGAGAAGATCAGATCTTTTATTGTAAGAGGCACTCAAAGGGGCTACCTTGGAAATTGTAAGGCCATGACTGCTAAGAGTAAGGATCTCTGAAATATGGCAATTTCTTAGGAAGGCTGTCCTAAGGAGTGCTTCTCTTTCAGCTTAGTTTGAGTTGGACTTGTCATCCATAGGGTTTTGTCCTGTTCTCTAAATTTTCCTTTTTGTGCCATCTGGTTTGTCTTGTAACTCAAGCTGCCCTACTGTGAAAGCTGCCCTGTAGCTTCAGCTAGTGGAACGTGACTCCTGGGTATGACAGCAAGAGGCACATACTTTTCACTCTTCCTGGAAGAGGATTCAGCTCTCCTTGTTTAAGCCATGTGCAAATGAGGCCTCTAATCCAAACTAGTTTTTAGCTTCCTTCTCCAGCCAGTGGGAAGAGGAGGAGATCTTCAAAGATTTATTGCATCCAAATATCAGTGTTCAAAATAGCAAGATTAATTGTCCTATGGAGATGTATGTATTTTTCCACTGAGTAGAGAGGAAGCTTAAAAATTAACTTCGTCTCACTGTCAAATTTTTAGAAGACTAAATTTAGAGGAAGTTAATCCTGTCCTTGGTTCAAGAAAGTACTGAGTGACATTTTAAATTCTGTGAATAGCAGTCTGTCCAACCACGTATCTTCCAGTCCCTGCTTGCTTCAACTTACAGGTGATGTAGTCTTCTTATCATGTCTCCTCTGGGGAGGATGAGGGGCAGGTCTAACACCTTTATGGAAGGAGTATGCAGCAGTCAAAAACAGCAGCAGGAACTGGTAAGGCAGTGGAGCCAAAGATTTTTAAAAACCTATCCAAAGGGTTCAGTGCCGTGGCCCAACCTGCACATTGTTTTTGAAGCCAGCCCTTTTCTGTCTGTCTGTGACAGTGTTGCTAGAACTGCTTTCTTATTTTAAGCTTTCTGTGTAGGAGGAGTAAAACTGCTTAAAACAAAAGTGACTGAGTGGTAGTTTGCACAGTACGGCACTGTTAGCCCTGCTCTTCCAGTTCCCACTGGGTTCCTTCATAGTTCTTAAGAATACAAAACCTGAGTACAGGTAGAATATGTCGGACCAACAGTCCCTCCAGCTCCATATCCTGTTCTTGCCAGCAACTAACAGATGCCTGTGTACCTTTCTCTAGTTCTTTCCCAGCCTCCATCTATTTTTAGCTTCTGAGACTTTCTAGCCATAAATATTTCTTGTTAAATGAAGAATTGCAGCTGACTTTCTTGTCTCTTATGTTTTAGAACAAAAAAAACAAAGAAGGTGTCTGCTCCTCCAACCAAAGAAGAGAAGCCCAAATTAACCATTTTTGAAGAGGAAGGAGATCCAGATGAAGGACTCTTTGGCCCAGAAAAAGGTTTCTCATCAGTTGGTCCCAGGAAGAAGATGAAAGAGAGTAAATCTGTTCTATATTTGTTTATACATAGATTGTTTTATGTAAAGCATGTGTATAACTGAGCTTTTAAAATGCAGTGATAGAGGATAAATAATGGCTTGGGAATGTTAAGGCAAATCTTCAGCTGGGGCACAATCATCCAGAATCATTCTGAAAGAATAAATAAGACCTGTACTTCACATAGCTGTTCACTGTCGACATTTTGGGCTGGGATATTATAGGTCTGTGGGAGCTGGCTGTCCCACAGTCACTCATGCCACACTAACAAGAGTAATGTGACCTACTTCTGGGTGCAAGAAAAAAAGCAGGTTTACCATGTCCTGAGAGTGCAGAGTATCACTGCACTTTGTGGACTGGAAGTCTTTGTAAAAAAGAATTGTCTACATGATCTTTCTTTTTCAGCCCATTAACCAGATTTGCTAGCTAGTGTTAATGCAGGTATTGTGTTATGTAGCATGAATTAACTACGGCATCTTCTGGTTTCCCTTTCTAGATCTGAAATTATTTGAAGATCCAGACCTCGGTGGGGTGGTAAGACTGGGTGACTCACTACTGCTGCCAGATGCCTGTAAACACAGGGAGTACGTGCTGAACATGGGTCCTGAGGAGGACACTGAGGCACTGCTGAGGTACACATCTCAAATCTGTCATGTAGCATGAGGGTGATCTGAGGAGTTACTGAGACCTCGAAAGAGATGAATTTGAGGGCAAAGCTTAAATACTTTGAATGCTAGCTGTGACTCAGTTCCTTTACTTACAAGTAAAAGGTAAGATACATGTCATGGAGCTTTGAAATCAAGCACATTACAGGAAATTAGGAGGACCATTTGAGAAAGTTAAGGTGCAAAGTATTATTCTGTGACTCCAAAGAAAGGCTTGTGAAGGTCCAAGGCCCATCTAGTCCTCGTTTTCTAACGTGACCCTTCTGCTTTCTGCAAGGAACCCACAGGGGGTGAAAACTGACCTCCATTATGAAAAGTGAGAAACAAATCCCAGAGACAAATTCCAGAAACAGAGGAATTCAGTTTCAGTGAGCTGAAATCAGGGGCTCTTGCCACAAGAGGAGTGATTTTCTGCTCGTGGCTCACAGATCTCCATTCACACTTCCGGGAGGAATCCTGTGCATACTTCCACAGCTTCCACAGCTCATTAAAAGTTCTACCACCCTGCTTTTAATCTAGTGGATAGGAGGGCCAGAGCTCAAGAGTTACAGGAGGGAATAATGTACTTGCTCTTACGCTTACCTGCCCTCATGATAGTGTAGCACTGGAACATAGCCTCACATAACATGTTTTATTCCTGACATCTCTCTCACAAGGCTAGTTTGCCTGCACTGATAATCCTCAAGTGATCAAGCAGGGAGCCAATGCTCAGAGGGACCCTCATCACCAGGGAATGTATACTGCAGTAAAGGGTCAAATTCTTGCCTTTTGGTCTCAGGATGGCATGTGAATGATGAGGCCAACCTGCTTTCAGTGCTAATTCTTGCCAGCCAGCTCCTGTTAGGGATGTATGATTTCCACAGCAGGTACTAAACCCAGGAGAGATAATTTGTGGTTTCAAACCTCTCCTGAAGCAGGTAGTTTTGTGGCTGTTGCTTTCTGCACATGTAAAAGTGCTAGCTATCTCATCAGGAATGAAAAAAACAAAGGTTAAATTGGGTTGAGTGCCATCTCGCATTACATCCTGACAGCCCACCTGATGTTTGTAGAAGCTGATGGGGCAGGACATGACCTGATTTAGTGCTGTGGTATATTGGGAGCAAACTCATATGTGCTTGCAATATTTTTGTGTTTGCTTTCTCCTCTGCTAGCAATCTCAGCATACAGTGCTTGATCCAGATTGTTCACGTGACTAGGGGAGAAGTGCCTTTTTCAATGCAGTCTCTGCATTATTATCCACTAGTGGAGAGAGCTTCTCCATCTGTCTTGTTAATGTCCTTTGGATTATATGTTTTCTCTTCCTCAGTGGCAGGGAAAAGTCTCTGAAGTCTGCTCCAAGACCAATAGACCATCCTTTTAGGTCAGTTTAGGGTCATCAATGTTAGCAGCACACCCAGATGCTTATGGAATCCCACGGGAAAAGATTCCATTTCTTTAAAATTCCAGTAGTTTTTATTTATTCTCAAATTGTCCCATTAATTTCAGTAGTTGACAAGTCATCAAGATCCGGTTGGAAATTACTACATGTAATGAAGCAGAAAATCATGCCAGTGGTCTAATAGGAAAGTTGCTACAGGAGTCCAAAGGCAAATGCTGGCTGTGCAAGAAGTATAGGCAGATAGGTCAGGATCTGTTGACCTGTTCAGGTGCTTAACACCCTCTGAAATCCCCCTGATAAACTAGTTCACAGTGTTATCTGCACATCACAGAGAGCTGATGGACTGAATGCAAGGTGATTGGAGGTAAAGGAGAAGCTGGTAGAGGGAGGAGGAGGAGGGGCAGTGCTGTTTCAGTCTGATAGAATAGTTCACCTCATCTCTATGTAAATTCATTGCAGTCACCTGAAATCCTGTAGCTGAACCTTCTCAAGTGATTATGCACAAGGTACTTTGTTTTCTGTTCAGCTGGAAGCCTTAGCAGAACTGTCAGGTCTCATAAATGTATAGGCAGCATTTGAATCATCTCCCACCTTCCTTTACCACCAGACTGGTGTTACACGTTCTTGCAGGGCAGTGCCACAGTCTTGTTCCCAGGCTGGGACCCTTTGGGATGAGAGGAAATGTTCAGTGTGAGCTGAACCCTGCAATCTCTCTGGCATAAGTGGTTGACCATATTTTGAGGCCAAAGAATAAATATTGCCTTTGCCCTGTAGATGTTGACAATCCTTCCCCATTCCCAAAGGGGACTGAAGAAATCTCTCCCCAGCCCTCAGATCAAAGTAGGACCTATGACAACCCACTCCTTTAGTAGGCTAGAGCTTCTAAGCTACTAGAGGAAAACTGCCAATTTCTTAGTCTGTTGGACATACTCTGTTATGCCATACAGAAAATTTGCCTGGACACATTTTGGCAAGAGCTAAGACCAGCCTGAGCTATGATGCACCAGCAGGTCTGTGGTAGGTGCAGAAACCACTGTACACAGATGGATTAGCTGAATAATGCAGATGTAGTAGTTCTTGACTTATGTAGTGTACATTTGCATGTACTACATGGTTTGCTCATATGTACATGGTAGACCCAAGACTGACTGGAAAATGTACTTTCCAGTGAATCACGGGCAGGGATAGGAGAGCCCTGCCTAAGGCAGAGGAAGGCAGGACCTTCTTCTTCCAAAGGGGAGATGGGAAAAGGATGATGTTCAGAGTAGAACACAGGAGCAACCAAGTCCTCCATGATCTTTATGGTACCAGAGTGGTTGTACCAGCAGTAGCACCACAGCAATGTCAGCACGACAGTGAATCCCCAGCAGTGACTTGTAACACTTGAGGAAGAGACTGTGACAGAGACAAATGAGTCTGCAAAATGTGTGTGGGCTGTGCTTGTCACAACATGAAGGAGAAGAGAGTATGATAAATGTTCTTATTGCAAACTGAAGACTATGCTCTCTGTGGATACTTGCTCAAATGAGATGGGAATTACTGTTTTAAATAGAATCACCTACTTTACATGAACAAATGTTGAGCTTTGAGAAGAACCAATTGCTTTGTAAGTGTAATGAAAGATTTATTTTTATGGCAAAATAGCCGTGTCCATTCAAACAAGTATCTTCCCTCTTGCTGTCCATTGACCAGCCTCTTATTGGTTGCTAATTTCTTGGCCTACCAACAAATATTAAGTGATGGTGATGGAGAAATTAGGTGAGCTCCCTCACTCTTAACCACTGGCATTGTAGACGCAGACACTCTTCTCTACCACTAAGTCTACCATAATATATCACTGAGGTGCCTGGAGAGCACTGTACTTGCATGTCCTTCCAGAACTTGTGGAAAAGAGATAAATTGCTGTGGTAGGAACCAGCAAGGTTAAGTCTCATCATGTTGCCTTCAGGAAAAAAAGAAGCACATCATACTCTTCCTTCATGAGATGTGCTTTGAGAAAAGGAGGGATAAGTAACGAAGCCTTTTGGGCTTATCTCTTCACCACAGGGATACGAAGAAACCCAGGCTCTTCCTGGGTCCTATTGCTTTTGACTCTTCCAAGGTGCAAGGTGACCAACTGCAGTGAGATGAAAGAGTCGCTGATCAGCCCTTTCCCAGGTGTTAAAAGAATTATCCTTGGGAATGGATTTAGGACCAGGCTTCTGTTTTCGCCTGTCATTTTCGTGGGTCATTTAATACCGTATAATGATTCTTTCTGGATGCATTCAGCCATTTGCCTCCACTCTCAAAGCTCCTCATCAGGTCTGATTTCCATTTAAGCTTGAGACAGAAGTCAACTGCTACAGAAATCGGTATCCTGCAAACTCTCCCGTCATGGATGCTCATGCCATCTTATTTTCTCATCTCTGTCGACCCAGTGGCCACAGATGTGCAAATTAAGTTTTCATGCAGCAGGACTGCAGTCAACCTCGTCTGCCTCATTAATCTAAATAGTGCCTGCCTGGTGTGATGGATCAGGTTTTTGAGGAAAACCAATGCTAGAACTGATCGTATGAATGTTGCAGCAGCTCTGTGGGCCCACAGAATTACATAAATGATCACACATCCTAGTCTGAAGTAATTATCACAGTTGTCTGAGCAGCTTTTTAGGAGAGATTTAATTAACTTCACTTTTCATAATGAATAGAGAGTTGAACTGGAAGGAAGCAGCTGTTAGCATAACATTTGTCTTTTTCCAGTACTGAGAAAAGTGTCAGCAGCAGGATCCCGGTTCTGCTGCCCTGTGATGGCAGACCTCGTGTATTCTTTCTTAGGAAAGGGACAATCCAGCTCTCACCTTTGTGCTACAGCTATATCATCCTGCCTGTGCCCATAAAAGACGAAATTTGTCTGTATTTACAGGTTGATCTGTTTTTACAGTTCCAAACTGTGCCATCAGTGAGGCAAGGGATGACCCTTTCGGGAGCATTGCATTGTTAGAGGCTGAAGCTGTTTGTGAAACCGCATCCTAACAATAGCCACTTCTGAACATCGTTCGGTCCATACAGCTTCTTGAGCAGGTTTGTTAGCTTCAGGTTTGCCAAGGAAAAGTTGCCACCTGTGAAGCAGAAAAAGTTTGTATGTTCTTCATTCAGCAGGCCATTCGCAGATGCTGAATTCAGAGAGCAACACTTAAATCTTCAGACTAGCCAGGACCCATATGGGACATCACCTCCAGCACCACATGAGGAGAAATGCTTTCTCCTTGTCCTGAGGATATGAGAGCAGCACCATAGCTGGGAGAAAGAACAGCTTTGAGAAACTCCAGAGGGTTTAGATCTAGATCTTTTGGGCAGAGGGTTGTTTGGGTGATGGGCAGGTGGCAGAGGAGGTTGCAACAACTGAGTCAGAAATTTCCTGACCACTCCAGGGCAGTTTCCCTTGCTTGCTGTAACCTGAATTTGGGGAAAGAGCTTTGATTTGGCTGCAGTAGCTTTCATTAAACAAATAAATTCTTTTTCTGCCAGCTTTTGTCGGGTTTTCTTTGCTGCCCAAGAGAGCACTTTCTGTGATGGTTTTCAAGCATTTATTTTGTTAATTTAATTTTTCCTGTGGTGTATAGCGATGCTATGTACAAACAGTGGAAGAGCTACAAAGTAAACTTGGCCAACAGAATAGAAAGGCTTTTGCCAGACAGGGAACATTAATTCTTGCCCTGCCCCAAGAAACATGTACGTGTTAACATAAAACAATGCGGAGGGGTGACCTAGAGTCCTAGTCTCTCTTAGTGTAGCCAGAGATGCTTTTGCTAGGCATGAGAGTCACCAGATTTCAACCACGTTGCCCCAGATTACTTGCATTTTTGACAGCCGTCTTCAGCTGGGTTGGGGTAGGAGCTGCCTGCTCTCCCTTGCCCCAACAGTGCCTTTGCCTGATGATAGGGAACTTTCTAGAAAAGCAGGAGACAGAGGTTTGAACTTCTTCAGGGTGGGAAAAAATTGAACCACCTCCCTGGTTCAAATTGTAAAAATCGAATTGTCTCATTTCCTGGATGAGTGATCTAACCCGTAGGCTGTTTTCCTCAGAACTCTTCTTGTGGGCATATGCATGTAGGACTTACCTGTACTAATGACCCTGTTCCCTGGCCTTTGACCAGACAGCACTGCTGGGCTGCATCCATGCTGGTGGGCTCTCTCCAGCTCCAGAACATGGTGACCGTACGCAGGTGCCTGCTGGGAATGGTCCTTGTCCTGCGCCAGCTCCGAGCTGTGCCTGGGAGTTTTTTGGAAGAGGGCTAATCTGTCCCAGACCGAAGTTGTGCCAGTGGTTCTAACATTTCAGCAGTACAGACTGTCACGTTCCAGCGTCCAGGCATATTTCCTGGCACTGGTTAAAGTACCAATGTGAACTTACCTGTAGTGGATTGCAGGGGAAAGCAGGAGCTGGAAGGGAGATAACCTGTGGCGCAGCCCACTGTGCTTTGGACTCCTGTGGTTAACTCCAGCCTGTATAATTTCCACGGACCTTGTTAGACATCACACTGTCTCTGATGACCATAGCAGAAGTGATGGTCAACAGACACTTCAAAGGCTCCTGCCTATTTTTGGGAACAAGTCTTTTCCCAAGTCATATATGTGATATTACACCTCTCCCCAAGGCTTTGCTAAGGTGTCTCCCATACTTGGAATTAACACCAGACAAAATAAAGACACTGATAATAAGAAAGTCTGTTCTGCAAGAACTGCTGTGAGTTGCATAAGCTAGCTTCAAGCATGATCCTTTTGGATAGTTTAGCAAATTATGGGAGTCTTTGTCTCTTGCTTTCATTACTGATTCTCCTCATTAGAGCGTTCCCAGCAAGCAGAGGTCACTGTCCCCATCATGCTAGATTCTGTACACGCACATAGCCATTCCTGTCCCAAAGATCTTGTCCAGATAGACAGGACAGAGCTCAGAGAAGTGGCATCTAAAATATTGATGTTCTGGTGGCAGCTGCATCTGTCTCCAAGTCAGAACTCGTCTACTCTCTTGAAGTCCACATGCTATCATTCACATCACAGGGCTTTGTGACAGCCTTTCTTCACTAAGGGTTTTGATTGCTTTCTGTGTCTGGAAACAAAGAGAATTTCCACCAACAAAGCCTGTGAATCAGCACAACAGTATGGCAGGAATTTTAAATGATGTGGTGCTGCTTTTCCATTACAGAAAAAGAAAGAGACTAATTAGAGAATGATTAATTACATGGATTCTGTGCCTGATTGTCTATAAAAAGATGGGGGAATGGGAAGGTTCTTCCTTTAATCTCCTTGTTATTTCAGAATAGTTGTTTGATTTTTTTCTTCCTCGTCCTGGCCTGGAGTTAAATATGGTGGTAGTTATGCACTGTAACAATTCATTTGCTTCTCAAGACATAGAAGTCCTTGTTTCTATCTCTGCCTGAGGCTTTTTGCATTTTACCTCGTTGGTTTTCCAAAGACAGTTGTGTCTCACATGATCAAACGGCAGTGGATCAAACAGTTCGCCTGGCACTGCAGCACTGAAAAGCAGGTTTTGAGACAAAGACCACATATTATCTACTGCCTTCTCTGTAAAAAACTTCTGTCTAACTAAGGTTTTTTAAAAAAACAGGACAAAAAAAGGAGATTTACATGATCAGCTTCCAGACTGTGAAAGTCATCTCCTGCAGAATATTTGGCCTAAAAGCACACTACTAGAAAAAAACCACCCCACACCTCCAAAAAAAACCCCATAACCTACTGAACTGCATCTTTTGGGGGTATTTTATGACTGTGCTGGGTGGTTTTGTTGCTATGGTTAGCACAGAAATTAATAGGGTAGATTTAGATTAAACATAAGGAAGAAATTCTTTACTATGAGGGTGGTGAGGCAGTGGCCCAGGTTGCCCAGGGAAGCTGTGGATGCCCCATCCCTGGAGGTGTTCAAGGCCAGGCTGGATGAGGCTTTGGGCTAGTGGGAGGTGTCCCTGCCCATGGCAGGGGGGTTGCAACTCGATGATCTTTAAGGTCCCTTCCAACCCAAACCATTCTATGATAATATAGAGCCACACAGAAGCAGACAGGTGTGGAATCTATACCATCTGATCAAGTTAATGAACTGTATTTACTGCTGCCCTTTCTGGGCAGTTACACCTAGCTCAAAATCATGCTCCATATGACCTGTATGTATATGTGTCCTTGCTTTGGCTGGAACAGAATTCGCTTTCTTCATAGTAGCTAGTAAGACGCTGTGTTTTGAATTTGTGCTGAGAAGGCTGATAACATACTGATGTTTGAGTGCTGGACCCTATCCAGCGAGTGGTCCTTCTGTCAAATCCATGTCCCTCCAACTCAGAGACAAGGATGTCATGTGGGACTGTGTCAAAGGCTTTGCACAAGTCCAGGTAGATTATGTCAGTTGTAAATTTGTAAATTTGTATATATTACTATTATTACTATCATTACTATTATTTTCAATTTTGTTGTAGTTTAGTTATTGAATTGTTCTTATCTCAACCCACGAGTCTCTTTTCCCTTTACCACTTTAATTCTGTCCTCCATTCCCAGGAGCGAGGAGGGTGAGCGAGTGTTTGTTGTATTTTGGCTATGAGCCAGAGTAAAAACTACAACAATATGTATGTATTGTTCATCTGGTTCTTATGGTTTCTGTTATTTATGATCAAAACTTTATGACATGGGCACTGATTCATTCAGTATTTGTTTATGCCAAGAAGAGAGGCATCAGATCAGCTAATGAAAGCTAGCCTTCAGAAACACCAGCCCTAACATGTTTTTGTTACACAGCAGAGAGAACAAGAATGTGTCTTGGCAATGTGATCACAGGTGTGATATCTCTTGGATATCAGAGTTTGCAGCAAACAAAAATGCCTGGGCTTAAACTAAATTAATTTCTTCTATGCAGATGAGGAATTCAGGAGGAAGGAATACACTGACAAGGTGTTTTGTAAGTTAGATGAGATATGACACCCACAGGGAATCACGGAAACTAAGAGACATCAGAAATCTTATTATCTAAATAAAAGGGAATATAATCTCCAGCATTACTTGAGGCATGAAATTTAAGGTAACAGCAGGAGCTGCCCTCTGGAGTGCAGAGTCCGCAAGGTAGAGTTCAAGGTGCAGAGCCCTGAGACAATGTCCCTGCTCTGTCCATCAGTTGTTCCAGCTTCAGTGGGAACAAAGTTGGGCACACAGAGCATGCTGTGTCTTTTGGTAAGGTCAGACAATCAAGGTAGAAAACATACTTAACTGTTTCAGGTGTTTTGGGATATTTCACTAGGAAATAGGACTATTTCCTTGTGAAATAGTCATCAAAAAAGCTGTAAAACTCCTTCAGTTTCTTGGAAGCTAATGTGAATATAATATTTTTAAAGCCATTGGGGTTTCCAGTTTCTCATGATTGAGCGTAGGGGATGCTTAATCTCAGTCTTGTGGGATGAGGATGAAGAGGAAGCAAAGCTGAATGTGAAATATTTTCAAAGCTGAATGTGAAATATTTTACTATCCCAGGAAACCTTCTGAGCTCTTGAGGAAGGAAACCACCCTGTCACAAATCAAAAGCATTTTTTTTCCCAAATTAAAATCAAGCTCTTTTTATTTTGATAATTTCAAATTGGTTTTAATTTAGACATTTGAAAACATTCTGTAAAATTAATTAGCTTGCATAGTGAACTGAAAAATCACATTATAAAAAGACAGTTCTTATTTTGGTAACATTGAAACTTTTATGGAAAATTCTTCCTAAAAGATAAATTTATCAAAATTGGTCCTTTCCCGCAGAAAGTTTTGTTTTACAAGCATGCATTTTCTTACCAAAAAAAAAAAAAAAAAAAGTTCAGAAATTCCAAAAGTGTTACTGATGTTTTCTTCTCATTCCAGAGTTGAGGATGATTTAGAGAAACTCTTGAAAGTAACCTCCAAACCAAAACCTAAGGTACCATCAAAACCACCGTTGCCTCAGAAGCCAGCAGTTGCCCCCAGGAACACTAATTCATCTCCATTGGCAAAGCCAAAGGAAAACAGGATTCAGACAATGAATGAAGTGGACATTCTCCAATATATCCAGGAAAATGAATCTCTCAGCAACCAAGATACCAGTCTTTTTTGAGCATACGTATTTTTTAAATGTAATTATGCCTTTTTGGACCAAAACTCCCAGTGAACTCAAGTGGCAGTAGCATGAATTGAACAGATCTCTTTACAGTCACAGTGCTCATTTCTATAGCATCATCTAGAGAGCAGCAAGTTTGACTAGAACAGGCTCGACATGATGTTTTCAAAGCATTGCAGTTGTGGTATAATGTTGCCTTAGATTTTCAGGGTTTTACAGGGAATGTGGAGGACATAGAACTACAGATTGTCTACTACTATTTTTGTATCAACATAGTACAGTTCTGGCCAGTGTAGTCATAACTGAAAATAGTAAACATGTTGTACATACGGCAATTGTGAATAGTGTCCAACAAATGGTCTGAGGCAGGACAGGATGATGTTCCTGTCATTTTAGACCATGTATGTCAGCTCACTGGAAAGGCAATTTTCCTTTTATCCTGTGCGTTTTTGTAGCAGCCCTTTCCTCCCTGGCTGGTATTTCAGTAATTTATAACTGGAAACTGTTAAGTATAGGTAACTGTTCCTCTGTAGTTCAGAGAAATACTGAAATCCCAGCTAAGCCTGACAATCTGCTGGCTTTGTTGTTCTGCAAATGCCAGCTTGTAGGACAGCTTGTAGGACTGCAAAGACTAGACTCTATGCATCTCTACCCACTGGGGAGAATAGCAGATGACTGAAGTCTGCAGTCATCTGCATCTAAGAGTGCAGCTCCAGACACAGGCTGAGGTTGCAGTGTGTAGGAGTTTTGGATGCTGTAGGACTCTTGTGAACCTACTCAAGATGCACAAGGGCTAATTTTTTCCAACCAAGTCTTTGTGGGCTTCCACTGTACTTAGTAGAGAGAAAGAGATTTCTCCAGGAGGTGATTCAGTGCAGGTGTCCTAATGGAGGAACTCTGAATTGCTCTCTGGAGTCACTCCCTCTTTCTCCTTCCCCTCTCCCAAAACTTAAGACAAGAAGCCGTGGTGATTAATGCCACTAAACTAACAAGAGTTTTTTGATAAAACAGTGATCTGTTCATACTATGGCAATAGTTAAAACATGGGAGGACAAACTTGGGATTATCCAGAGGTAAAAACAGGAAGAAAATATGCTAGAGAAATTTTAATATGCAGGAAAATAAAAACACAGTAGAACAGGGATCCCAGGCTGTCCCCATTCTTCTCCGTTTCAGGCACTCTGACTGAACATGTTCAGTTTACATCTAGTGTGGGTTTATACCTGCTGTCATGTAGAATGAGATTCCTGAACTCATTCTGCCTGTGTTCTACCCAGATGTGAAGACAAGCTCCCCAGGAGGAAAGTGTTAATATATTTAAGCCATATCACTATCCCCAAATTTGCCTTTCTAATATAGAACAAAATAAATAGAACCATTATATATATATATTTTTAATAATGAAATTATCTCTATTAGTATTTCCTTTTTAATCCAATGGAAAATTTTATAAAGGTATTTTGTTTTGATGGGACAGATAAAACATAACCATTTGCTCTCATCTATCTACAGTATGTTTCAGTATAATAAAACATTTTGCTAACCTGCAGGTGTTATTGTTGTTCTTTAGGTTGTACACTAGCAGCAAATCAGAGTTAAAGAATGGATTCCATTAGGACATGAGGAGCGTTACATGGTGTTAAAGTGCATGCTCAGCTAAAACCCTGTGTAAATAAATATGAAACCAAGAATATAGCTTTGTTCATATATCCTTTGAGAGCAGCCAAAGGTAAAACTATATATGAGCAAAGGTGGGACCTGATCCTGTCTCTTCTCACACTGTCCCGCTGCAATTAGGAAACTTTTTTATCCCATCCTGCAAAAGGGGAGCGGAAGCACCAAGGAGAAAATAAATGACTTGCCAGAGAGCAGGCAGGGAATAGCAGGCAGGAGAAATGAATTCAGGACAGCCTTCCTGTTGCACTACCTACTGTCATGAACAGCCACTGTATATGTAACTGAGAGCTGAGGAATCTTGATCTCCACTTTATTCAGCACTGTCTAGGGAGACTGCTTGCATTTCTGTATTTTTGGCTTCCAGCCCATCACATAGGCTGACCACTGCTAAAACTACCATACTAAGGGCCATGGATTTCATGATCAATAGACTGAGTGCAGATCTTCACCCTTAGTGGGGGATCAACAGAGGAAAAGGACTTAAGATTTCTTGAAGTAAATCAGAAACATCATAGAAGAACAGAGCTGGCAGAGGCCTGGGAAGACCAGTTTGTCCACCATCCTGCCTTAAGCAGGAACACCTGCCCTGTGCCCTGCTGGTGCCAGATCTTACAGGCCAGGACAAGGTGTTACTGGTGTGAGGTTGCAACTGGAAGAGCAGACAAATGCCAGAGCAGGACATGGAGGCTGAGCACAGGCTGAGCATGGGCACTGAATTATTCTTGCAGTGACAGTAATTATGCCCATGTTATCCCTCACAGGCGTGTTTCTAACCTGTCCTTAAAGGTTTGTCTGGCTGGAGAGCATCTCTGGGGGTGTCATAGCCTCCGTGGGTGGTGCTATTACAATACTTTGCTATCCTATTATAAACCTTTTTCTCCTGTTTGACATAATTGTTCCTTCCTCCAGCTTAAGCTCATTGCCTCTAATTCTCACCACCACAGAAGGAGAACAAAGAATATTCCTTTCAGTCTCTTTTCTAGTCTGAACAACTCTGTCTGGTGAGGGTGGCAGCAAGACAGGTCAAGATATCACCAGCTTCTCATGACTTGGTGCGCTCTAGATGAATGTTGTCATATTTCATTGTATTTCTCCCATTTTAGAAGAATTGCTATATATCCAGATAGCAACTTAACAGGGGCCATAAAGGATGCCAGCATCCTACACCCTCTCATTAACACCACTTGGTGCAGTGACACAATGTGCAGCCTTTGTTCCGGCTGGGACTAGGTTTGTCTTTCACCGTTCTTCATACCAGTGTCATCTGTCTGCCTTCCACCACCTCTTAAAGAGCTCCACTCAGAAATAGCTCATGCTTTGCAGAGCAGTGGGAGGTTAGGTATTATATATTACCATCATAACCATGGGAACATTCCCAGTAATACTGATGTAACACCAGTATAGCTGTATCCATTCTGAATGGCCAAGGAATACTTTACCCCCTAGCCCTCCCTAAAATTGTCAAATTACCTAAACAACAGGGAAGGAAGAACTGTTAATTGTTTCCTGTGCTAGATTTTTAAGATGATTTTAAGGTCAATGTTTTACTTAAGAAAAAAATCTCTCTTTCCTGTCAGGGTCCTAACATAAAAGGATCCTTCATAAATCCCAGTGTTACACATGTGTTTTACAATGCAAATGTCTAGCTCCAGTAATATTTATAGGCACTTAGAGGTGAGTTACAGTCCTTGAATAAATTATATATAATGAATCATTATTATACAAGAGATGAATGTCAGCAAAATGTAGCCCAGAAAAATTGAACATATTATTTGAAATGACATAGGGAAACCACACAACATACTTTGCATCCTGCCAGAGCAGAACTTACTTTCTTTTTTGCATACATCACTTCTAGTAGTAGCTATTTTATTAGCCTGCTCTTGACAACTCTTGAAATTCAATTATGGACTCTAATGTAGTTCTTGGCTGACAGGCATCACCTTTTGACATCAGTAATAGCTAGCTCATCAGAAGATTTGAAAAGCAAGGGAGTTATATTTAAAACCTTACAAAAGATGTTTTCTTTAGTGATTAGAACTCATAATAGGTTATCTCTATTGCTTTAGAAGCTGCTTCTTGTTTTGTATAACCTTCTGCTTGTTATGTGGATTAGCACTAATTAACAACACTATAAGCTTCATTATTTGGGTCCCAGTTAAAATACTGATTTCACCAAGCTGGGTATTTCACAGATGACCTGTGGGTCATAGCTCAGGTCTGTTTGGTTGCTAAATTTTTAGGAAAGCTAATTCCCACGGAGCATTTAAGGCCTAATTCTGTCAGTGACAATGTGCATTGGGTCTAGAAAAATATATTAATTGAAACTGATATATCTGCTAATCTTTGCCCAGATGTTATACAAAGATACAAAGAAGCTGAGCTTGCTACAACAGAATACACAAGTCAGCCTGTAATTTAAGGTCATGAAAATCCAGCACTGTTCATGGGGCACTAAGGCATTAGCTAATGAAAGGAGACTGTAAATGAGCAATCCCTGTGGTCATTAGGCTTTAATACAGAGTACAAGAACACACTGGTATTTCACTTAAAAATCTGTCACTGATGTCACCAAGGATTCTTGAATCTTTGTGTGTGTGTGCATCAACCATATTTCTTACAGATCGATGTGATCACACATTTGTGACAGTTTAAACCTCTGTAAGCCAAGAAGAGAGATGGGGTTTACTGTGAGGTTTTATTTATATTCTTGCTTTTCATCTCAACAGCAACAAGAGTTGCTGAATAAAGTTACTCACTTGCTTCCAGTATTGTACCCATTGCTTACTCAATTCCTCTTGAAACCCTTCTGATCCATTTTTTTCAGCCCTCACCATACCACTGATCTTTCTTTACAGCCTTCTGCATATTACTGGTGTTTAATGTCACACATTGAACCTAATGAATTCAAGGGAAATCGTGTGCCTGTGTTTCTAGAGAACCATCTGTAGGGCACACTGCTTCGAGTGAAAATACTAGCCGTGAAAGATGATGATGGTAAATTAAATTAATAGTCAAATTAAGTGCCGCTGGGGGAGTTCAGAAGTCAATGAAGCTGCTTAAAGGATTGATTAGTCATAGATGTTTAGGGACTAAGTGTTGTTCATACCAGGATGTTATGGATGCTAAAAATTTACACGGGGTCAAGGAGACACTGGTTAGACTCATGGAGGAGAAATCTATTGCAGGTTATTAGAGATGCCACTTAGACCTTGAGAAGTCCTTGAGCTACAAGTTGCTGGAAACAAGGAGAATACTCAACAAGCAAATATTTTCATATTTCCTTGTCATCTGCTTTTGGCTGGTGTGAAGTATACCAT